TTCATTTGAAAGCCAGTTTCCTTGCGGTGGTTCTTAGCTATGTTTGGTTATTATCAGTCCAGTAGTATAAGAGTATCAGCTCTTTTTCAAAATGATGTAAGGCATTATGACGAATGATTATTCGATTTTAAGTGCTTAACGCATGCCAGTGTAATCGTTAAATGACAATTAATTTGCGTAGGGGTTTTCTTTTAATTTTTAATAATTATTTATTGTTATGATTTTTGTGTTCTCATGCTGTCACCTGGACGGTTCATAGCTATAGTTTGACTCTGTAGTTGTTAAGATATAGATTTAGAAGAACTAAATTTCTTCTTAAATATTTTTTTTATTTCTTACAAAAAACCATGTATTATCAAAACATATTCACATTTGTCAAGACAACGTTTGTCTATGGAGTCTAGTAAGTATCAAACGTTATATTATAAACTAAATAAAGATATAATTCAAATTAATATTAAATAAGTTAAATTTGCCGAAAACAACAAAAAAATAAACGCGACGGTAAGGGGTGTTTTAATAAACGAAAAACTGATTTATGGCAACCCAATGAGAATGATGCCTGCGATGCAGATATTGATAATTGCACAGTCATCCGACTAAAGATTTTGGGGGAGCTTGAATTCTTTCTGGTAATTTATGCGTAGCGTCGCGGAGTTTAATAGATTTTTTTTAATAAAAAAACTTTGGCTATATTTTGTAAACGGATTAAAAGTCGCTTAAATTATAAGTGTCAGTCAGACGAGTATTTTGTTTGTTTATTTATTGCTCAGTTACATGCTTAGGTAGTAGATACCTTTACTTCTTATAATTATATTAGCGACTCACCCTTGCTTCGCTTCGGGTTCGTCTCTAGACAAAAATAAATCTATCCCACGGAAATCGTACATTTTTCCGGGATGATATATAGCCTATAGTCTTCCTCAATAAATGGGCTATCTAATGCAAAAAGATTTTTTTAATCGAATTAGTAGTTCCTGAGATTAGCGCGTTCAAACAAACAAATAAACAAACTGCCAAAAAAACTAAAAAAAATATAAATTACTGAGTATAGATAGGTAACGTTTGGCTAATTTTGCTAATAACTGTAGCCTATATGTATTTTAGGTTATCTGTGTATAGAAAGACATTATTTAGTAAGCTTAATTTCATCCAAATCCATACAGCATTCATTTCATCTGTACAACGTGAAGGAGTAAAAACATACATACATATAGAAACACTCGCATTTATAAAAGTGGTGTGAAATTTTATTTATTTGATACAATAATTACAATAATATGAAGACTATTTTTCCAATAAACTTTCTCAGTATAAAGGCTATACTTATGTATATATTTTTATAAATAAATATGTTGGGACATTAACACACAACACCATCTAGTTCCATGGTGAGCTACGACCTTGTTTTCTGGATACCCGATAGTTGATACACTACACATATATAATTTTAAATACATACATATTATGAATATAAATACCCATGACTGGAGTACAAACATTCGTGCTCATTACACAAAAGAATGTCCCCAGCGGGACTCGAACCCGTGACCGCTGGCGCAGCAAGTAGGCTCACTGCAAACTGAGCCAAACGTGTCGCCGAACATTGAATATAAACCGAATTTCTCCAAATCCAAACCAGGCTGGTAGTTATATAGAAAAGCGCGTTCAATAAAAAAAAACAACTATTGAGCTTTATAATATCGTTATAAGTAAATCGAAGATAATATAGATATAGAAAATGAAAAATGGAAAACCAATTTCTATTGTACATGTAACTAAAATAACCTAAGAATGTTGCTAAACCTATTAATCATTTCTGGAATTCGAGTAGTCTATGAGCGACGTCAATATTAGGTAGGTAAAGTGACGTCAAATTGTCGGCGGATCTCGGTTAGGTTTGCTGAACGCGTCTACAACGATGGAATGTACCTACTCTCAGAACGTATAACATACAGGTGGTTTTAAAACATGAAATGTTTACTAGCAAATAATACATATTTGCTAGTAAACATTTTAATTTTAATGCTTATTCAATCAAAATTGGTATAATTTAGTAATTATAGGCATTTATTATCTGCCTTTTTTGTAGTTTTTAGGTAATTATTTTGATTCTTACTTTTTGCTCTATTTCGATGTTGAAAAATTATATAGTGGTGTCTTACTCATTCAACTAAGCAAAAAATCAATAATTATTGCTTAATAGTACTTAATTTTGTTAATTTTTATATATTTTGCTTTACTTTGAACAAACATGCTTATGTAGAACAATCTGTATACAAAGCTTACGTCAACGTCGCATGCCTTACGTTGTCGCAGACGTGCCGCACATAGCGAGTTGGCTGCACCTCTAATTAAGTGACGGAGCCGATCAACTTTGATTATTAAGTATTTAAACTAATAACGTGAGGGTTGGTTAGCGAATACCTGTAAAAGGAATTTTATCACAACCTGTTACTATTGAAATATTAGTACATATTATTGTGTTTCAGATAGCGGTAGTTTGTATGACTTTTTCATAGCGTAGGGTCTTAAATACTAGATAATAATGGCTGTTAAGGGGAGGCTAAATACGTAATATCTATACATATAATAAAATTATAACTAAGTCGAATCTATACATTAAATATTTTTTGGAAAATCTAATTGAAATAGACATTATTATCGATACAGAGTCCGAATCTATAGTTTTTAGAATTTTTGTCTGTCTGTTTGTTACCGCATCACGAGAAATCCCCTACACCATGATAGCTGTTTATCCGGGTCAACATATAGGATACTTTTTACCACGGGAAAATATCTGATTTCTAAAAAATACAAAAACTGCATTGTAAGAGTATACTAATATGTAAAACCTAAGAATTTGGTTTTTGGTCATTTGAACGCGGGCGGAACCGCGGGCAATGCTGGTAATATATATATATATATATATATATATATATATATATATATATATATATAAATACGTATATTTTATTGAAAAATATGAAAATCTATACATAGTTGGCGAAGATGTCGTAATTTAATATAGTCACAAAAATAGAGACGAATAATTGAGTGTGATAGATTTTTTTTAAATAAGAGATATTAAAAGCTTCAAACTACACAGTATCATATTAATATTAATAGAAAACATATTACTATAATTATCATTTATATATATTATGGAGGTAGGTGAATAAGACAAAGGCGACTGTAACACAAAATATTACAAAGTAGATTAAGTATAACCAAAAAAATATATCAGCAAAAATACTATAAATGAATATCCTTTAAACAATTATCAAGGCTTATCTTAACATAGCAAGACTTATCTTTGTCCTGATCAGCTGCTCGCCAGAGAAAAAGTAATTCGCTAACGGATACAGGTATTAAATTAATTATAGCACCGTATCGGGCCGTTATGTCAAATCATAATAAATACTTTTTAAAGATTTCAAATAAAATGTTGCCAATAAAAAAACTATAACTATAAGTATAGTTAAATTAAAATATAATAATAAAAAGATTATTATTTATTATATAAAAAATATACAATGAATTAATAATAATCTATTAAGTGCTTCCTATATTTTATTATTTGTATAATTTGTTATATATTTTAAGCTAAACGGATACAGTTGTATTTCTATTTACTATGTGACATAATATATTATGTAATGTGAATTTAAAATGTTATCCAAACATATATAAATATGAGAATTGGAAGTTAGAAGAAACCTAATAAACTTTGAAATCCATACAACTTTTGGACACTTCGCCCCTTTGACAAGTTGTTTTTAAACGACCAAATAAAACACCTACTGCTTTCCGGATCCTGATTTTGACACTTATAAATTGACAGGGCCTATATTACGCGTGTCACCTGTACAGACAGATAAAACATAAAATAAACAAACATTGGCAGAAATATTCAACATTAGCCCTTATTTTTCCAAATATCTAACAAAATTGGACTCTCTGGTGACTCTTATGTCAATAGGATTATGGACTATATTCTTTCATATGGTGTTTCATGATATATTTTGTATTAAATTTTAAACAGGTTTAGCTTGTTTCTTCAGCTCCCCTTCAGTCAAGGGGCATTTTGCAATGATTTTCCTGTCAGGCGCCCCTTTGAACTTCACCGTTATTTATGGTTTAGGATTTCGTTATTATAAACTTGGATGAAGTCTCACGTGCGATTCAAAGTTTGGAGGGCTGTTAAGTGCATCATGCTACTAATGATATTTATACTCGAGTTTCAAACATTAATAAAAGTAATTACTTCGAAATGTAACACGCATAATAACATTTCAAGCTGTTATGGTATATAATTTAATAGTATTTCAAGATATTACCTAAAGAGTTTTTTAAATGATAATTGTCGTGGCATACCATATCTGACATTGAGTGTGCCAGAGATGGCGAGTCTAGTCTACAAATTTATGACACTAAAATGTACAAAAAATAAAAATATGAGGAAACTAAAACAATAAAGTACGATCAATGATGTGACAGCACAAGTCAGGTCCATGTGGAACTGCAGAATGCTAGCTGCATTCCTCCGATGAGTGGCAATGCAGATGCTTTAGAGCTTAGGCGAAAAATGAGCCAGCTCTTATCGCTGGTAGAGACGATAAAACGAGGTCTTATGTCTTTTAAGAAGTTTTAGTGCTTCAACTCAATAGACCAAGTTTATTACAAAAGGTATAAAGGTACGTATATATTATTTATATAATTGCTTTTATAATTATTGCTCAAAATTGATATTTTTGTACAATAATATATAACTAATAACATATCTGCAATAGATCATTGATATGGGATGAAATCAAACCTGCTAATCTCCGGATAGGATTCAATCTTTTAGAAGATTTATAGTTTATACGGTCTTTCTGAGTGTTTTATTGTAACTTTTATAAGTTTCTTCAATAAATAAAATAACATCAAATTAATGTAAAATTTACTAAATAATTAAAATTAATTTAATTTCATTTTAGGCACTATATTTTAGTTCATGTGGCCGTTGACGCTGTGGGGTTCCAGTAATACTTGTCGTATACTTTATTCCAAAAGCGCCATCCATCAGCAAACAAATCTTTCTTCATTTGTAACTTTTTGTTGATCTCCAAGTAGTTTGGATTTTCGTTGGTATATGGCTGCCATTTGAAAGTGATAAGTGAGCTCTCGTATTTGGTGGGGTCACTGTAAAGGAATATATTTAATTTTATTAGTTATTATTTACTAAATAATCTTGTATCGAAATGTGCGTGACTTGTGCGCCGATATTTATGGGTTTGATTCTCGTGCGGCGAAAAATTGGTCTAGTCCATTTAATAAGACATTCATTAGAGATATGCGATCTTTGAGAAGAAATAACCTTGTTTGTTTCTAGAGATTTAGTTTTATTTTTTTACCACGTTTATAATTCGCATATTATATAACTTTAATTTTTAACCGACTTTAAAATAATAGGACGTAATTAATTGCGAGGTGTGTTTTTTTGTATTGCACTATACATAAGCCCCCAAGCCCCCCAACTGTCGACTGATTTTAATAATATATTTATCACTTTCATAGGCTACCTGAAAGAGACCTCTTCTAGAGATAAGACCACTTTTTAACCCCTGACGTAAAAACGAAGGGGTGTTATAAGTTTGGCGTGTCTGTCTGTGGCATCGTAGCTCCCGAACGGACGAACTAATTTTGTTTTTGTTTGAAAGGTGAATTAGTTTCAGGAAAATCGGTCCAAGACAGTCGTAGGTTTTTTAAATTTTTAATTTATGCCCATATGGGTCTCTCTATTGTTTATATTTTGACTGTTAAAATATGTGCAATAAAGAGTACATCATTGAGATATTATAACTTCAAGACTATTCTTTACGTATAATAAAGTCGTAACTAAGCCGAATCTGTAAATTTTTTTTTGAACGTCTTATTGATATAGACTTTATTATCGATACAGAGGCCGAATCTATAATTTTTAGAATTTTTGCTTGTCTGTCTGTCTGTCTGTCTGTCTGTCTGTTACCGCGTCACGGAAAAACCACTGGAGGGATTTTGATGAAATTTGGTATGATGATAACTGAATATCCGGGTCAACATATAGAATACTTTTTACTGCAGGGAAATATCCCATCTCTGCGTAAAAACTAGTTTAAAAAGTAACGCGTGAAACACGAAGTGATTCAATATCGATATACTTTTTTATATATAAAATCATTAATTAATCCCTCAACGACCGCGGACACGCCGGCGTTACAGTTAACAATAGATTTCTTAGAAATTTAAGTATTTCTTAGAAATTTACCTGGAGGTGATGATATTCAAAAAATACGTACCTGTACTTTACAAAATCCGACCACATACTCGTCATACGGTCTCTAGTATCCAAATCTTTATAATTATTTGTAAATCCAAAAAAATCTAGAACATACGAAGTTTGGTCTCTATGACTGGCCCCTTTTACTTTCTCCATATATATGTGATTAATATTTAGACGTCCAACGTAACCAAATTCATACAGATATATGGGTTTCTTTGATATTGCTGAGTGTAATTTTGCTGCTCGTATTATACCATATTTAAACATTGAATCAGAGAAATAGTTTATGTAACTTTGTAATGCTTGGGCATCAATTTTTTGTTCTCCAAAATAGGACATTTTTGTTTGTGTTATAAAATCATTTTTAGATTTCTCAGTATCAAATTTAAGATCAGCTGGTAAGAAATCAGCAAATTTTTCATTCATTTCCTCTCTCCATTCACCGAATTTAATTGTACGACTTATGCCTTCCATATTAGAGAAACCAATCAAAACTGCCACGTCGTTATATAAACCTTTCTTCATTACGTCCAAAGGCGACTCCGTTAATATTGCCTCAACGCCTTCAATTTTATTTTCAATACATGGAGCAAATCCGAATGAACTATTTCTCACATAAAAATGTAAACTTTTCTCAGTTAGATCTCGGATTGTGGCATTCAAATAAAATTCGGTTAAATCCTTTAAGCTATCCGTTCCATTATAGCCTATTGAAAGAGCTATATTTTTTGCAGTGGTCACGGGGTGTCGATTTATCGCAAAAGGTGTTAAAGCAGAACCGCTGTCGAGAATAATTTTATTAAATAGCCCTTTAGTAGCAGGAGATAATGATAGTAAGTGGGCCATAGACGCACCTACACTGAAACCCGCCAGTGTGATGTTATCGGGATCACCCCCAAATTTTTTAATGTTCTTCTTAATCCATCTTAAAGCAGCCACTTGGTCTTTCAAGCCAGCGTTTCCAGGTATTTCCTTATTACCCAGACAAGCAAATCCCAAGGCACCTAAGCGGTAATTAAAACTAACGGCAATTATGTCATGTCTCACTAAGTAACTGTACATAGCCATCATCCCACTTCCACCAGAAAATGCTCCACTATGAATGTATACTACAACTGGTACTAAATTCTTTTCAGATGCTACGTCTGGGACAAATAGATTTACGACAAGACATTCTTCTTCACCATCCAACATTGTTTCATCATTGACGTCTCCAGTGTAATAGATTTGGTGGCAGAGAGTTGTTCTCTTTGTGGCTTTAAATACTCCTTCCCATGGTTCAGGGGCTAAGGGAGCCTACAATGTGTAAGAAAAGAACCTACATTTAGTTGTAATATACATTTTACGTATTTCAATTGCAATTTTTTCTCTCTGATTTTTATTATTTGTTACTATTATCCAATTTTGCGTAAAAATATAAATAAAAGATATTAAATTTTTAACGTTACCTATAACAATTTAATTGTACAATATATTTTATTAATATTTAAATTTATTACTTTTAAAATCATTAAAAATATGGCCGTCTATAATATTGGAGTACCATTTTTAAATATATACATTTATTTCCAGTAAGGGAAAGCAAATACATAGAAATTACAAAAACACTTAATTATATATATAAAACGAATGTGCACTTAATAATTACAGTACAAGTCATGTTCGCGCGATATTGCGGCAAGAATGCTAGCCGCATTCCTCCGCTAAATGGCAATGCCGACTCTTTGGGCGAAAAATAAGCCAGCTCTGTTGTCACCAGTAGAAACGATAAGACGAGGTGTTGTCTTTTAATTTTCACTAACAGTCTTACATAAAATCAAATATCTGTAATATCTATAAGTCACAAACCTGAAATCTATCTCTTCCTGTAGGTACCTTGGCATAAGGGATGCCATAAAATTCATAATAATCGGCTTTCCAATACTTTTCACCGCTTACTACACCAGAATCAGTTTCAACATACCGTAGATCTTCTTCAGCTAAAACAATATTTAAAAGAGTTAAACCAACAAGTGCTCGCCACATGTTTGAGTTGAATAATAAATCAAGAAAGATAGCAAAGTGATTACAATTTTGATAGTAATTGATAATTTGGTCAATAACTATTCGAACACGTAATATTCGTCTTATCACTATTATCTCTTATACAATTTTGCTTTTAAACATTGATTTTTATTAATGGCTTCCCTCGATGACCTAAATTAATATAAATAGTTTTTTTCTATATACTTAGGTACACATTTTTTAAACATTGACTACCTAATCTATTATTATTAGATACCAGCGACTTCATTCCGTTATAGCTTATATATCATTACACATTGTTTATAATCTATATAGGTATGTACTAAATTTTATCCAAATCCGTCCAGCTGTTTTAGTTTGTAAGCGTAAATGAGAAACAAGCATACACATATACAATTTTTTTCATTAGTGTCCGGCAATCCAGCCGGGCGTGAAGCCAAGAAACGCGCAGGGAGGTGGCCCACCTCGGTAGACGGTGTGTTATGCGGGTTGCTCCTGGTACTTCTCTGATAGCAGAGTGGACCGTTGGAGCAACGTCATGGCTGTTGTGGTCTGCTTCGGCAGGCCAGCCATCGGGGTGTCGTGGTGGAGTGCATAAGTGACCCTGCGACGCCCCATTAAGACGAGGGAAGTTCCGTTAGATTTTAGTGGGTAGATAGTACTGAATTTGCCGGTGAGTCCCATACCTCGTGCCTAAATGCATTTCCCAATATTGAAAAAATGGTTTAGGCTATGGCGACGATACATTAGGTTAAGAAATTGTTTGATTGATTGATAATGTGCGAATATCAGGGAATCATCTAAAGAAATACTATTATATTAATTTACGCCCCAGCTAAAAAAATCACGTCGAATAGCGACTTTACTTTCGTATTTAAAAAAAAATATTAGCTTGGAATTTTAAATGATGGTGAATAATGAGAGTCTGTTAATCAAAAATATGATGGATTTCATTCAGACGACATCCACAAGTGTCCATTTGAGTTGACAAAGTTCAGGATGACAACCATTCAATCGTTTGAAAGGGTAAACCCCTTTTGTCCCCTATAAATCATCTATACGAATAAATAAAATTGAAGTGTCTGTTTGTAATTTCAAAATAACAGCTTTTTACTTAATGCACATGATATTATATTCGGTACTTACGAGTTTAAGAACACAATTTTTAATTTTTTGTCCATCTGTTTGTTTGTTCTTGCTAATCTCTGAAAGAGCTGGACTGATTTTGTGGGGATTTTCACTGGTAGATAGCTGATGTTATAAGGAGTAGTTTAGGATATTTTTATTTTAAAAAAGAATTAGGGTTCCACTCAAAAAAAATTAGATGTACTGCGACGTAAGCGAGCATAAGTTGCTAGTCATTATATAATAATCGTAATTTACATTTTATTTAATATGAAAAAAAGTTCTGGCGAGACTGAAATTATATGTTTGTTTTTTGTTTCTTTCGCTAACAAAGTTCATGTTTATCGAATTTTCGCGTTATTTTGATGTCCTACGCGCGCACCGAATAGGTACTATTACGTGGGAGTCTTATCAAATTTGGAGTTTATTAGTTTACATATGGCAAGTATTAACAGTGAGTAGTTATATTGAATACAATATATTAGTATGTGTAAGTGTATCGCTTACACTTGGGCGAAACCAGGGCGAGTAACTAGAAAATAATATATTCGAAACAAAAAAATCATCAAAACTTAATTTTTACATACTTGCTCTTGCTATAAATAGCGAATTGAAATGCATTGCTGATATAAGCAGGTAAGTACTTCGAAAACAAAGTCTCGATGACATTACTCTCCGCATGGTTTAAAAAGGCGGAGAATAAAGAAAATTTAAATACGAAAAAGTTTGAAACTTTGGGTCATTTCCTTGCAGTGCTTTTATCTTTAGCCTCAAGCTTTGAATTTCAAGACTTCCCCGAGTTTGTTTCGAGAGCTTTGTCTACAAAGAGAATACTAAGTTGTAAATAGGTTCTCCATTTTTATAAAGCTCTAAATCATTTGAAAGTTCTTTAAATTATAGTACAAATTAAATGAAGAAGTTTGGGTTCTCATGAATTTTCTTATTCGTTGTTTTTTAAATTTTCATTAAGTATAAAAATTTTAATAGAAACAATCGTTAATCAAATTTTTAATAGGTTGGTAGCAGTAGTACGTGTAAATACAAGTAAGTTCTTAAGGTCTCAGGTTCGATTCTACCCCCTTAGATGTTTTGACTTCTTACTATGTACAATGCCATTATGCCTGAGCTTTGTGCTACTTCTTACGTCCGTTTTCTACTTAACTATTTATTCTAAATAACTAACTTTAAATGCTTCACTGTAAAACGATCAACATTAACTAGAAGCAAATTAGCAAAAAGATTTTTATATAAAAATTATAAATAACAATGTTTTTGGTAAAAATCGCAAAGCCATGGCGTGAAGTGTATTATCATAAGATATTCTTTACGGCACATTTTACTGTCCAACGTAAAGTACACGGACGTCCAAGCGGTGTTACGAGGTATTTACATGTTGCGACTAAGCGTTTTCTTTTATACAAAAGAGGTCGTACGATTAATTCTTATATTTTTTCATGTCACGTCGAAAAGCTACTTTATTTTCGTATAAATTTTAATGATGATGAATATTGAGAGTCTGTTAATCAAATATATGATGGATTTCATTCAGGGGACAGGAAAAGTTTATATTTGTATTGGTTAAAAGGCTTTACTTGTATTGGTTATATCATGAAAAAAATACTCTTTAGTTCCAGTACAGTACAAAAATTATAAAAGCATACATAATGCGAAAGATGGCAAAATTGGCTAAAATTGAAAAAGATAGTTGAGATATGTATACTCTTGATGTGTGACTAGCACTGACTGTTGCGATAAAGCTCCTCGATTAAATTTTTGTTATAATGTAGTATGTACAAAATAATGTAACAATATATCAAAAGCTATTATGCCAAAAGAGGTAAAAACAGAGAAAAATGAAAGATAATTAGTTTGTTAGAAATGCAGTCGTACCTTCTAAAAACGAGCTTGGCTCTTCACGCTGAATATATTTGGTTTAGGGTTCCAGTATACCTGCGCGTAAAATATGTTATCCTAACCCACAACTCACTGTTGTGGACTGTTTAGTTTCGCAACAGATTCTACAAAAACATACCTACAGTAGATTGTTACATAACGATTTTGTATAAGAATTGTTTACAACACACAATAAACAATTTTTTATCATCGTTTAATATTAAGCTGTATGTTTATAATTTTCATATTAAGTTTGAATTATTATTTTAAAAATACAATACAAATAATATTTATTGCATACCACTATATGATGTAACAAAATGAAAGAAGAAATAGTACAACTATTTCTAATTGCTTAGTAAGCGATCACCTCCAAGCAACTATGGGCAGAGAGAAAGAAAAAGAATCTGATAGAGAAGGGGTGTAAACAAGAGAGTTTTAGCAAAATAGAAGAAATATATATATATATATATCTATATATATATATAAATGCATACATACATATAATATATATATATATATATATATATATATATATATATATATATATATATATATATATATATATACTTTTTAGCCCGTTCGACTGCGTTCCCGTATACAAGACTCAAGAACGGCTGGACCAATTTTTATGATATTAGAATTTTTGGATTTCTCTCATTCCGGAATAGGTTTATATAATACTAACCTAAGTATTAAAACGTCAGAAAAATTAACGAAAAAAAAATATTTATATGGCTAATAACACTGGCTAATAACTATTTATATCTATTTAAAACGTACCTAGCGACGAACCCGAGCGAAGCGAGGGTGAGCCGCTAGTATATATATATACTAAGCAGATAACAATTTAAGATTTTTTAGTTAGTTTTAAAATAATGATAGCGAAATAGCTTAAAATTACCAAATAATTTCCCTGAAAATAAAAAAAAGTATAAAATAATTACTTGTACGAGTACGTATGAAACAGACTCACTCCGTGCAAGACGGATATTGAAATTCAAAATTATGGCGTATAGCGAGAAGTACTCAATAGAATGAGACACTGATTTAAAAATTAAATTTTCTAGGCGATAATCACACTCGTATCATTATTATTTTAAAAGCATTATAATAGTATAGTTTTCTCTAGGTATGTTTTAATTTTTTTGAGTGGAAAAAACTAAACTAAAAGTTACCTTAGTTACTCCTTATAACACCAGCTATCTCCCAGTGAAAGTCCCGTCAAAATCAATCTAGCCGTTTCGGAGATTAACCGGATCAAAAAGACAGACAGACCAAAAATTTAAAAATTATGTTTTTCTTATAAGTACCGTATTTAATTTCAAATGCATTTAGTAAAAATCTGTTATTTTGACATTGCAAACAGACACCTCAATTTTATTTATGTGTATGAAGTTAAAACCTCAGACTAAATAATTGTACGAAGTCAAATCAAATCAAAATGCACTATATTCAAATAGACTTTGACAAGCTCTTTTGAATCGTCAATTTTATATTTTAAATTAACATTAAATGTCAGCGTAGGCAGTCCGTGAGGAAGCTACCACCGGCGCGGAATGCACTTTTCTACTCAGAAGAACCGGCGAAAAACTCAACAGTTGCTCTTTTAAAATAATAATTGTGTACAATATTGTAATATAATATTGTAATACGGTATAGACGGAGCACGCCAAAATAAATGTCAAAGTCACAAATAGTAGCGTGATTTGGTGTATAGGCTACTATTCTAGATATTGCCACACAGATAGTTTACTTTCTTTAAAGAATAAGGGAAATCTTTTATACGTATTAGTAAAATTAATATATACAAAATTTTTGAGAATAACATATGAATAATAAAAATAATACTATATTTTTTTGTATTTTTTTCTTTATTATAACAAAATCCGTTAGCTATTTATATTTATTAACCTTTATTTACTTATCACTCAATATTAACGTTTTTCTTCATGTATAGTTAGTTCACTCTATATTATTCCTTTATCAAAGTTAAAAACTCACATTCTAATGAAATCTATTTTATATGTTTTTGAAGTAAAAAAAGAATATTTTTACTGATTATTATCTCGGTTTACGAATAAGTATTGTTGCTTGTATTTTACTTTATTGAATTAGGTACATAAATTTGGGTCAGACGAATTCAAAATATAAAGTTTGTAGCGAAACTGTCTACTAGACTTTCAGGCCGAGAAAGGGTTTGTGTGTTTTGTCAGAGTTGATAGGGGTTGAAGTCAAATTGGTTTACCTGCACTACAGTTTGAAACCTATTTAGTTACTTGTATCGCCAATATTGGGTCTCTATTTTTGTTTAAAAAAGGTTTTTTCTATTCTATATAATACTAACCATTCACCCTCGCTTCGCTCGGGTTTGTCCCTAGGTTTATTCCCCATACAAACTTTTATCCCCTAAAAGGATTATTTCCGGAATAAAATATCCTATGTCCTTCCCAGGGTCCCAAACTATCTTCGTACCGAATTTCATCTAAATCGGTCTAGTAGTTTTTGAGTTTATTCGTTACAAACATATAAAAATACAAATCTTTCCTCTTTATAATATTAGTGTAGATATTGTTGCATCTAAAATGAATGTGATGAAATGATTTTGTCCTAATAACATAATAACAAGTGTTTTGAAATACTTCTCTTTTGTTGTTAGATATTCGTTTGTTTGTCCATCAATTGTTTTGAAAGTTTGACAAATATTCGCATTTTTTTATGGAGAAGGTTTGTATATGGTTCATTTTGCTATAGCTTTCCAGTAAATAGCAAGCCAATGCAATGACATCTTTCAACAGATGATTTTGAAAATCTGAATCCTTAAGAATTTAAGTACAGAGAACATTTTTGTTTTATCTATTTATGCGAAGATGGTAGGAAAGGGCTTGTTGTAAAATAAAACATAATGTTGAAATATTTTCTGGTTATTTGTATCTGTGAACACGGACCGTGTGGCCTAATGGATAAGGTTCGAGTCCTGTCACGGTCGATTCTACATAGATTAACATTATCGACTCCATATTTTATTGTAGTTTATAAGTTCTTTATTTATAAGATTCTTGCTATGAATTTTATGCAATGTAGACTATTTCTTGAATTTATTCGATTTTATTTAAGTTAAAATTTAGCAATGTTTTAAATAAATAAATATGTTGGGACATTACCACACAGTACCATCTAGTTTTATGGTAAGCTACGAGGCTTGTGCTATGTATACCAGATAGTTGATACACAACACATATATTTTAAATACTTACTGGAGTACAAACATTCGTACTCATCACACAAATGAATGCCCTCAGCGGAAATGGAACCCGCGACCGCTGGCACAGCAAGTAGGGTCAACACAAACTGAGACAAACGTGTCGTCAGTCATTTTTAGACTGATAAAACGAGTATATATGTATCTACAATATATTGCGACTCACCCTCACTCCACACAGATTCGTCCCTACTTTACGTTTTAATGTTTAGTATGGATTTCTCAGAGATGAGATATTTTCCCGCAGTAAAAAGTATCCTATATGTTGACTCAGATAACCAGCTATCATCATACCAAATTTTATATAAATCTGTCCAGTGGTTTTCTCGTGATACAGTCTCAGACAGACAAACAAACAGACAGATAGACAGAGAAAAATTCTAAATACTATAGATTCAGCCTCTGTAGGTAAGGTTTTCAAAAAATAATTAATGTACAGATTCGGCTTACGTTATAATTTTATTAGTATATATATACATACATACAACAAAAATATATATAGACAGCGACAAAAAATTTCAGTTCTTCATCTATGTTAGTTAACCGATTTTCTATTTTTCGTTTAGTAGCTATTGACGAGCTATAGCTTTATCAATAAAAAATTTAGAAACAGTTTCTTTAACGTATAATGATTATTGATTATGGTCCAATTTCGACCACTGGGCGAATATTAGTATATTTTACATTACCCCAGACATTTTCCGGTTAAGACTTCGATCAACAAATTATTATTGTTGATCGAAGGGTTAAGGCACAATTTTACATATTGAATATTAACTGATTATTGGATATCCTAGGTATATACTGCAAATTTTTTATTATCACTCTAGGAATTTTCTATGTTTAAAAAGAAGCTATCAATAATAATAATAAATAAACTATTGTTAAATTATTTATTCTTTAATTTAACATTCAGACGAAGGTATACATCTGTTAGTATTGGTATCTCTAACATTAGGTGTATCGCAGAAGCAATCTGGTATGCCGCAAGCACCGAATTTACGGTGCAGAGTAGGATTATTACATGAAGGTTCCGCCATTCTTGGACAGTATAGTACTGAATGCTCTCCGGGAGGACATTTTTCTGCAACAAAAAAAAAGGCTTGAAGTTTTGGATTTTTTCCATACAAAATAGCCATTCGCCAGCTACTATGGCTTTTTTCCAGGCAACATACGATGAAATCGGGTGGATGATGGTCTAATATTTCAAGAAAAAATCGACTCCTAAGAATAGATAAAAATATTTTAAAATTAATTTTGAAGTCAGTCAGTAGTTTAAAAATAAATTAAATCAATAAAAGATATATAAAAAAATTAAACTTACTAGTAGGAATAGATTGTCCAAAAACTGCAACAAAAATGAAGACAAACACAAATATAAATAATCCTATCTTCATCTTGTAAATATTTTTAGTCGAAGTACTGTGAGACTATCGATTTGTTATGGTATGGTAGAACCAATTGTGACACGCTTATATATCGACAAAGAATCGTAAGCACTTTAGGGGAATCACTTGATAAGTTAAGCTGTTAAATTAAAATTGAGTCATCTTATTGTATGGCGTGTTTGCATTGGGGTTTTTTGCTGAGACATAACGGTGGAAAAAAGGAGTTTGTTCTTGACATATTTACCTGAAGAAAAGATAGTGCAACTTCCAACATAATTAACAAATTTTATATCTTATTATCGTCTTATTCTATACTTAGTTGTATTACTTCATATCTCATATAGTATTCTGTTTATTTATCCATACTCATCCGAGGCAAAACCTTTAAAGCAATCAAGAATCAACTTTGATTTTGAGGATTTATATATTTACTTCAGTTTCGATATGGACTGAGAGATCTGCTGTTTATGGACAGAAATAATTTTTTTTACGGTTATATTATATTTAGATAAAAAGAAACACTTTATTGTGCACCAGAAAAGAAATGAATAATGCCAAAGAGGCGGCCTCGTTATAAGTGATCTCTTCCAGCCAACCTTAGGGCCTTACATGGATAAATACTTACATACAAATATACATACATACCTATATATTTTAAATTTAAGACAATTAAAAAATTAAACATTTTATATGTAAATGTTAGAAATGAAAAGTATCCAAAACGGTGACCGTTTATTTATTGAAAATTATGGCTTTTATCTTTTTTTAATCTTAGGCCTTAGCGACCCTACAAAGAACGTAGCATGATATCATATTATAATACGAATATCCAAAGAGACGTCAATTCGATCCCCTCACGTCTGAGAAAGAAAAAAATGTAATTTACCATATAATATTGTATATAATAATATTATAAATAACATACAATTTAATATGAATTAGTATCAATAAAATAAAATAATTGATTTTGTTCAAAATTCTGAAATTACCCAATAAAAAGTACCATTTCTAAAATATCCGTGCATTAACTGTTTGACCTGTGACTGTTTATATGTAATTTACACGATATTTTCGCGTCAGTAGTAAACCAATTTTTATGAATCTTGTTTAATTCCGCCATTACAAAATCCTGCTAATATAATAAATGCAAAAGTTTACGAGGATGTATTGATGTATGGATGTTTGTTACGCTTTCACGCAAAAACTACTAAATGGATTTTAATGAAACTTTACAATAATATAGCTCATACATCAGGATAGCACATAGGCTACTCTTTATACTGGAAAAATGTACGGTTCCCGTAGGATTTTCTTTTTATATAAATAGTTATCATATACCTTTCAAAAAGTAATAAATAATTCGACCCAAAGAGTTGTCCATTCCAAAGAGTGTCTTTTTAGCTAAAAAGTAATAATTAAACTTAAAAATACTGATAGGTGCAAATTTCATTACCTGTAAAGTTGTAAAATATATTCGAATTCTTTATTGGGCACGCTTCTAATTGGTTCAACTGGTAATTTCCCGGCGGACTAAGTGGCCTAATTCTTGAGCAGGCACGGAAAGTAAGACAAGACTCTTTGCTACTATCGTGTAGTCGGTTTAGCAAAATTACTTTTTATTTATTTCAAATTTAATAAAATTGTTACAGTGTAAAAGATATAATTTTTGAAAAAAACTATGAGGGAAATAACATAAGCACCCAAGATAAGCTACTACAATTTTTAACATTTCTGTTTGTTTATTGGTTTATCATTTAGGATAACTAGACAATTAATTGTGATATATCTATTTTAAATACTTTGACTTGATAAAGTTAAAATAGAATAAGTGAAAGTTTATAAAATCAATTGCTTAATTTCAATTCAATTAATTTTAAAGTATGTAGTTTTAACGATGCCGCTTAATTTTATGCATTTTGTGGCATCGTACGGAATGAAGTAAACAAATTAATAAAAAATATTAAAATTCGGCCAGTTGTTGAAATTCTACTTCCCCTATTAATTATTATTGAAAATTTCTGGAAAACATTTATGAAACATATATATATTTGTTAAAAAAACTATTTCCAATTTCCTTTATTGATAACATTAAAGATCGTCAATGAGAAAAAGGTACTGAACTGTTTTGTCTTTCCCTATTTATAATTAGACTGGCGACTCAACCTCGCTTCGCTTGGGTTCGTCCTTAGGTTGCTTCCTCATACAAACTTTCATCCCCATTTTCACCCCATTAAAAGATGATATAATAAAAACTATCCTATGTCCTCTCCAGAGTCTCAAACTATCTTCTTATCAAATTTCATCTAAATCGGTTTAGTACTTTCGGAGCCTATTCGGTACAAGCAAACAAACAAAAAAATCTTTCCTCCTTATAATATTAGTATAGACAAAAGTGACACCCGCCTATATTACGAATAACATTTCAAAAATCATCAGTTCATTTACAGCCTCCTATTTAAAAAACAATGGCAGACCTAATCTTGCATTGTTTTGTTATTTCAGTGTTACCTAAGTAATATACAGGGTGAATTTTGCCCAGAAAATGCAATATATACAGGTTTTTTTTAAGTAAACACACATCTTGTACCAGTTAATTTAGACTAAGGTAATATATCACTCAGCCACTGAAACATGCGTTAATAATATGTAATGGCCTCCACCTGATTACAATTATCCGTAACTCTTGATTTGTTTCCTTTGATTGTTGATACCCGCGGGTAATTAGTGCTGTATTATTCAACTTGGGAGTAATTAAAATCATTTAGAAGATTAAGTTTTGTTTACTGAGTGGTAATTTACTGGAATTTAGATGAATACGGTAGTTAGAAATATTGTGTTAGTGAAATTGTTGTGTCTACGTTCTCGTTATAGTAAGATTTTCAGGCAAAGATAAAACAGTTCAGTACTTTTTCCTCCGCTGTTTATTAACCGATTTTCTTTTTTTTTGCTGAGTGGCTATTAATGAGCTTTTTTTGTTTAAAAAAGTCACGAATCAATTTGAATTTATCAAAACTGAAAAAAAATCATTAGAATTTATATTTATAAAAAATAATTTTGAATGGAAATAAATTATTTATAAACATTAAAATTATGTGAACGTTTTAGTTTCGGTAGAAAGGGTAATAAGCATCAAAAATCTATTGTTTTACAATATAGAGAACATTTAGCATTTTGTCAAATATTTCTGGGTTATTTGTATCTGTGAACACGGACCGTGTGGCCTAATGGATAAGGCGTCGGACTTCGGATCCGAAGATTGCAGGTTCGAGTCCTGTCACGGTCGAATATATCTTTAGTTTTATTGATTTACTGCAAGTTTTAATTTTTTAACTAGTCATTATCGTTTGTATATTGTTTTTTATGTAGCCTTCAATTACCCTTCCCTTCCCTACCGTATATATGAAATCCATATAAAAGTGTTTTTGACTATAGAAACCCCTTATCATAAAATTAAATAAAAATTAAAAAAATAAATCAAATAAAATAAAAAATAAAAAAATGTAAGTAAAAAATAATTAAAGTAAAAATAAAAATAAAATAAAATAGAATCATCACGGCAACTATTATGATTTAATTAAAAAAGTCACTTAGTAATGAGTTAACGAGATATTTTTAAATATCTTTGTAAAGGTCTCATATACAATTTTATTATTATCTTTCAGATATGTATATTGAAACAAAAATAATGAGTAGACCAAGTACTTAATAGCAATTCATAAACATTTTTATCAATAGTTTTGGAACAACTTCACCAGATAGCACATTTTACATTTTAATCAACGTCTCACGTCTCTTTGAATGGAAGATGTTTGTTTCTTGCTATGCATAATTGATGAATCGCTTGTTTGAATATTGACGTTATTATATATACCATTATTTTCCTACGTTACATTTTGACGTTTAGTATAGATTTCTCAGAGATGAGATATTTTCCTGCAGTAAAAAGTATTCTATATGTTGACCCGGATGATGTTCTCCTGATGATGTTCTCCTGACCGATTCCGGCCACGGCGGCCAATCTCATTGAGACGAGCCAACTGCGCAGGAGATATTATACTGCACAAGTGTACGCGCAGACACAGGTGCACTCTCTATTCCTGTCACTCTCACATTCCGGTGGGACGACTGCTCGACACGACCAATGAGAGTTAAGGCGCAGGACCGACGGCTTTACGTGCTCTCCGAGGCACGGGGGTGAAACACCGTCACCTTCCCAACTCAGGGCTGTTACTGAGGCTTACTATACAGAAAGACTCAATAACTAAACTTGGCCCAAACTTGGCTCTGTGTGTGCAGCCGTACATGCTAGCCACTACACCACCGAGGCAGTTAAACCCGGATAACCAGCTATCATCATACCAAATTTAAAGATAGACAGACAAAAATTCTAAAACTATAGATTCGGTCTCTGTATCGATAATAATGATTACATATTTTATAAGATTTACCAAAAAAAATGTATATTTGACTCAGAATTTAATTATATTTATAGAAATATAATAACTTTAATTGGTCTTGTTACTAAATCTAAGTAAGTCCGTGTAAAATTTTAACGTAAAATCTAAAACGTTTTAATCATAAAGTTGGCTGATGTCTCAATTTTGCCTCAGCAGCATCAGCTTATAAAATAGCTATAAAATAAATACAATGTATACTTGAAGTATTCCGTTCTGAAGTATTCCGTTCTGAAAAATATACGTAAATCAATAAATGAGCAAAATCGATTTACGTGATTCTACTTTAGATTGAGTATGAAAGGTACCAGAATTACTCAGTACCCTATAGGTACATTTCTTTTGGCAATACCATTGTTTGATAATCAGACTGTAAGTTTGTTACTCCTTTTCTCTAAAATACTGGACCGGAATGGATAAAATTTAGTACGCAGATAGATAGACCTGAACTAGCATTTAATAATGTAAATAAACTCTTCGCCTAAGTGCGTAAAATACTTTTGACTTTGACTGACGTTAGGCTTAGTTTGTAGTGGCCCTACTTGCTGTGCCAGTGGTCGCGGGTTCGAGTTCAAGTCCCGCTGAGGGCATTCATTTGTGTGATGAGCTCGAATGTTTATACTCCAGTCATGGGTGTTTATATTTATAATGTGTATGTATTTAAAGTAACTATCTGGTATCCATAACACAAGCCTCGAAGCTTACCATGAATATTAGATGGGGCTGTGTGTTAATGTCCCAACATATTTATTTATTATTTATTTATAAAGAAAGACTAATTGAATTATTGAGAAAATGTTTGAACATAACTATAGAAAACACTAATTATTATAGGCGATCGTTTATTTTAACATTCAACATTCAGATAATGGGATACATTTATTTGTCCTGGTGTCTCTAACATTAGGGGTGTTGCAAAAACAGTCAGGTATATCACAAGCGCTAAATTCTCGCTCATGTATAGTTGGGTTCTGACAAGTAGGCTTAGCTTTCTGTGGATAATATAGCACCGTGTGTTCTCGTCTCATGGAGGACATTTTACTGTAAAAAAAAAGTTCTTATAAGATATATTAATGGTAGTTTCTGCCTGTTATTTGCTGAAAAACAGCAGATCTATAATAAAATTCATGCATGTGTTATATGTATGTGTTATATTAACGATATCTGTTAATTGTTGATGCATAAAATTTGTTCTATCCCCCGAAATCTTTGAGAGTGTTTTATGCTTTATTTTGACCACTTAGACAGACGGACGAATAATTCATATATTTATCGGTCTATCTGATCGTCTCCTTACACATTTTATTATTATATGTTAATAAGCTAAATTAATTTTCTTAAAACTTTTTGTTTAAGTTTAGTAAATATTCATTTCAAGGTCTAAAATTTGAATAGATTACTTTGTTTATACTACATCTAAAAACAAGGTTCACTGTACGGACAAAGCGATAAGGCTAATTGATACGTAATATATTTTGAAGGAATATTAATTTACTCACCTGCTTGGTATAAACTGTGTGAAGACAGTTACAATTCCGGTCAGGACTAGAGCAAATAAAGCAAACTTCATGTTGTAAATAATAACACGTAGTAAGACTGTGACGATTCTGTGAATCATAAAAATTTCAACAAGTTTTTATATTGGTACAAAATGTACCAATATACATGCATAATTTATATTTATATTGCGAAATTCTAGGGGAATAACTTAATTATACAAGCACTAATACTATTGGTTTATTGCATATTGAAAGCTATAATTTAGATTTCTTGTTTATTATATAATAGCGACTTACTCTTGCTTCGTTCGGGTATGTATGTATGTATATATGTCCGTATGTATGTTTTAAATGGATAAAAATAGTTATTGTGGGTGTACCTTATTAGATATACAGATGTTATCGTTGACTTTTCTGTAGGCCTTTTTAAGACCTAAATTTTTCTAGTACATTGTTTTGATGCATTTCAAGTTTAACCAACGGTAGCCATATAAGTGTACGACAAAATATCATTTTTTATTGACAAAAACCGTCATAGTTAAGTCATTCTCGTTTATCGTTTATTCCAATAGTGGAAGCTGTAAAATCCTTTTTGTGGTTTCGAAGAAGTAAGTGGAGAAACAGACGGAGGCAGATAGCCACTTTGTTATATCATGTATATTGTATACCTATTAGATATAAATATAAATAAATAAATATCTTGGGATCTTAACACACAGCACCATCTAGTTCCATGGTAAGATACGAGGCTTGTGTTATGGACAACAGATAGTTGATACACTACACACATATAACTTTAAATGCAAGCATTAAATATAAAGATAAATGCCAATGACTGGAGTACGAACATCCGTGCTCATCACACAAAAGAATGCCCTCAGCGGGACTCGAACACGCGACCGCTGGCACAGCCAGTAGAGTCACTACAAACTGATCCAAACGTGTCGTCAACATATATATCGCGACTTGCGCTTGAACTAAATACTTTTTTGCATGAAAATGAGAGATTATAGAGTGAGAAAAGTCGCTAATATTTCATATGTTTTAATTTGCTTTTTTCCTTGGAATTTTGAAATTTTGGTACATATAATAGTTGATACATCATTGGTATAAACGCAAACAGGATATGATTATCGTGTTTCCATTTCCATTTGTGGATCCCATAAAAGTAAACGTTTATTGTTTATGTGGTATTTACTTTTAATTGTTTGATTAGTTACTTTAGGTTTTTGTTTCATGGTGTCATAATCAATACTTATAATAAAATTGTAACTAAGCCGAATCTGTACATTAAAATTTTTTTGGAAAATCTTATTGAAATAAACATTATTATCGATACAGATGCCGAACCTATAGTTTTTAGAGTTTTTGTCTGTCTGTCTGTGACCGCATCACGGGCAAACTACTGGAGGGATTTCGATGAAATTTGGTATCATGATAGCTGGTTATCCGGGTCAATATATAGGATATTTTTTACAGCGGGAAGATATGTCATCTCTGAGAAATCTACACTAAGCGTTAAAACGTAAGCAGAAACGAACCCGAGCGGAGCGAGGGTGAGTCGCTAATCATAAATATAAATCCTGTTACATATAGTCTTAAATATAAAAGTAGTGTAGGACGTTCTCCAGATAAGGTGAATTTATGCAACGTAACCAGGTACGGTTGGATGCGTAAAGTTGAAGATCGAACTCAGAGGCATGCCATAGCAGAGGTCCAGCAGTGGATAAAAGCAGGCTGATGATAACGATGATGATTCTGTTTGGATTTGAAATGAAATATTACTTTAAATTGTTCAAGTTCACTAATACGGTTTAGTCTGGTAAATATTAAATAAATTAATTTACGGACTGGCGCGTACAGGAAAATTATTCGAATATATTCATTATTGTCACTGTGAAAAGGTTATCTCCCGGTTTGTAAGTAAATAATGTCTTGAATATGTTTATATTTTGCTATGAGGAAAAAGTTTTAACATTTATCATTTCCTAGTTAATATCAATAAACAACGTGTTATCTTACTATATTATAAATGTGAAAGTTTAGATGTTTGGATGTTTGTTACTCTATCACGTCAGAACGGCTGAAGGGATCTGGATGAAATTTTGCACGGAGATAAATTATAGCCTGGAACAGCACATAGGTTTTTTTATCCCGGAAAAATATATGGTTCCCGTGGGATAGATTTGTTTTTGTTTTTCTAAGAACTAACCAGAGTAAAGCGAAAGTGAGCCGCTAGTTAATGTCAAATAATATGAAATATGTATCAGGTATAGATAGTGGAATTTTTATACTTTTTGTCTCTACTTTTCCCTGATTTTACGAGTATAGTTAAACGTAATAATTTGACAAGGCTTTTAACCCCATTAACTTCCACCAAGGTGTATATTTTATGCTCCAGCGAAAAATGAGGATTGTAATTCCCTTGACCTCTATATCTGTCTGTAATATCTTATATATGCTCTCGAATGGATGAACGGATTTCAATGCGTTTTTTATAATTTAAAGGATTACCTATAAAATGTTATAATTATATCTTAATAAGTTATAAATATAATATATATATATATATATATATATATATATATATATAATAGTTATAATAAATAATAATAATAAGTAATCTCTATTGGTGTGAAAAAACATAAACATAATATTTACTTTCCAAAAATAGGTCCCATACCTCATAAAAGCTTCAAATTATGATTTTTTTGCAATTTAAGAATTATATATTTTTATTCTTAAGCATTAAAATACTATAAATATGTTAACAAAGTGCAGTAGCTGTCCATAAATTTTATTTACAAAACCAATTTATTTAAACAGAAAATGATCTGCACAGATATAAAATCTGCTACTGTGCCCTTATAAAAGATGACTTTCTACTGTTATTATCAACATCACTAATAGACAATTGAAAATATAATAAAATGGAAACAATAGAAACAATGAAACTCATTTTCATACATTTTTTTTAAGATTTCTATTAACATAGCTATTGTAGAATATCATCAAGTCTAAGCCCTTTTAGCCATTAGCGATTTCTTGATGCGTCAGACGACGTTTTTAACTTTAATGTCCAAAAATAGTACAAAGTAAAAGGATTTCTTCTATCTCCTCCTTACAATGTTTACGGGTTGTCGTAAACTTTCAAGCAAAAACCAGATCTCGGGTACGATCTTGTTTGAACGCGGTCAAATATTTATTTTTCACGGCGCATTCTGTAGTTTATTACAGCAAAAAGATAATGAATATAGATAAAAGGTCGATGTTGGGGCTTGGGGATATTTTTTATGTTAAAATGCAGATTTTAATAATATAAATTTAAAACTTTCCTTTTTTTCTTGCGCTAGTTGTTGCTAGCGACTTCGTCCGAGTAATTTTACTCTACAACCACTATAACGTGATCTCCGCTCTACGTAAAACGAGCTTATGTTATAACTTTTGATTAACTTTACGTTAAGATAAAAGATATCTACAAAAACAACCTGCATAAGCAAAAAGTAAAAATAAATTATTGAAAAAAAAAACAGTTAAACGTTCTCAATTATCACTTGACATGGATAGAATAATAATGACCGACATAAATTTAAAATTGTGTCTCATTGTCAAAAAAATATTTTCTTTTAAGTTTGATGAACGATTTGTATGAGTATTATAGATATATATATATCTATAACAGCAACATATCTACACTCTACAGGTGAAAATCTGTGAAAACCTAATAAATTCGAATTCCGTCAAGTTTTGGAAAATGAAATCGTTTAGTTGGAAAAGGTTGACAAATAGTGAGGGGTTATCGACAGTTTGGTGCCAACAAAGGATGCAATTTGTCAAATCAAATAGCACTCTGTTGAAAATATAGGGAAGATTAAATTGTAAAACATTTTATAATTGTACGTTTTCGGAAACTTTCACAATAACATCTTAAGGATGCCCTTTGACGTAGTTGAAGATATTACTTCTTAGACGTCTTCTCGACGATGACTAGTATTGGCCTAGTGCTCGAATTTCAGTCATAATCTTTTTTTTTATACATTCATAATATATTTGTACTCCACTCATGGGTGTTTATATTTATAATATGTATGTATTTAAAGTTGTACATGTGTAATGTATCAACTATCTGGTATCCGTAACACAAGTCTCGTAGCTTACCGTGGAACTAGACGGCGTTGTGTGTTAATATCCTGACATATTTATTTATTTATTTCATTTATTTATTTTATTGATAACACCGAAGAAGCTCAATAGCTAGTAACAAAAAAAAAGATTGAAAAGATTTTTTTGTCTTTGCCTATTTATATATACATGGATTGTGAAAGTATGCTCTGCTAATGGAAAACAAAAATATATAAGAGAATTGAAAAATAGTTTATGCTTACATATGTCATAAATGTTTTGTATATTCTTTAATTTATACATTGCGATGGCTACTATAGCATGTTTCTAATTAACCTTAGACGACATGGTAGTTGGCATCAATATAAAACATATTTAAAAATAAATATCCGATTCTTTCTCAATGTTCTTCTCTTTTCTTTCTTCAGGCTTTCTTACTCAATTTATTATAAATTATATTTTCATATAATATGTGTGTTAATCTATCTTTGTAGCAGTAAAAATATATTGAAAGTGTGTACAGAAAAACGTGCACTCTTTATTTTTTTTACTGTCAAATTCTAGTGGGTCTCGACCAGTTAGAGCTCAAACGCTACACCGATGGCTTTAGGTACTTGCTCTCCAAAGCATTGGGCTATAACACTGCCAACTTATCAACATCAGTTGTTACTTAGAATTATTTAAAGTCACTAGTTTCAGAGAAAATGTAAGAGAGGAACTCAATATATTTGTAATAGTAACAGTACCAGTTAGAAATAGTTAAGTTTCTAAAACGAAAAATAATTCTGCCAATATATATACATACATAATTAACAGCTTCAAGAAAGAAAAGAATCTAATGCAACCGTTTTAGTGCAATGGAAAGTTTATTATATAATTTTTAAAGATTTATTTACCATACCGAAATATTCATAAACTTATTATTATAAACCAGGATGTCCCGCTTTTC